GAGCTTTGTACATTGCTACAGGATCTGATATATATGCGATCTGTGCTCTTCTTGCTGTTTGAAAGAAATACCATTTCACAATACGGTGTTACTACACACCATCCTGCGTACATGTTTGTAAGAATGACGGAATACTGTTTATTGATTGGCAAAACCTGTATAAATTGAAGATAAGTTAACCTTTAGCTAAATTATTACTCAAAGACTTTAACAACAATAACGGTAGAAAATCTGGAAAACATATTCAGCTTTTACTTGCTGAAATGTATATATCATACCATTTTTCTTGTGTTAAAATTCACTTTGATAGTTTTAGGGAGCTTGTTTTATGGATTAAAATAAACTTAATAAATAACACGTTCATGAAATAAACTTAAATGGTGAACTTTCCAGGCAGCATAGACCATGTAGCACATAGAGTAACTTGTGCATGCTCTTAATCTCACTGTGATGTGGGAGATGTCACCTACTGTATGCACAACTTGAAGGCTGGCCTGTCAGAGGATCAATGTACAGTGTGTAATGTACGTAAATAAAAATAAGAAAATAAAAAATCACTAAAATACTTTACTGTCATTAACAGTAGTCTTAGTAATAAACTAAACAAAGCTATAAAGGATTTTGTTTTGACTTGTGTGTTAGTTTTACTTGCTTGGTTATTGTGTATTAGGTAGTGGTGTGAATGCTGTATATTATAAAGTGTAATTGTTGGAATTACAGAGCAAGTGTGTGGTGGGATCTAAATCTGGTCCTTGAAATTTCCAGAAGGAGGCGCAGATTCCTTTTTTAAGGGACGCAGGCCATGATGGGTGTTGATTTGTGGCATTTTGGTGACGCTCAATAGCAAGATACCCTCTGATGCCTAAGTCTGGATCCCAGGACTCCATTGTTCTGTATTCTGGACATTCAGCTGTGTCCTCAATGGTAAATTCTCAAATCTCAAATTGTTTTGAACACAAACAATGCCCTCCAGATTTAGCTGTACCACTGATGAAATGGGAACAGAAACACATGAATAATTATTCAGTTTCAAGAAGCATTAGGGTGACTTTATTTATGCCTGTTAAAATGTCTTTGTATAGTCCAAAATTTCCCAGAAGACCTTTAGATTACTGTTTAAATACCTGTGTTGTAATGTTGTTCGAGTAAAAGACATATGCCTTTTGGTGTTGATATATGTCATCTATAAGTATTTTACTGTACACGCTCCTTGCATAATTAGGTTTTGGAGTTTCTGCCATCATAGCTTTACAAAGGCAGAGCCCTTTTCTGTAACACCCTCATACTCAACCGTTATATTTCATGCAAGATGCCTTTTTCTACAGAACTGACCAAAAAACTGGTCACAGATGAACATTCACAGATCACTGTGCAGTATATAGCCTCAATGCCACCTACAATGATGAAAGATCAATAAACCAGTCTTTAATTGGAATCAATGAGTAAACAAATGAAATTTTAAACCCAGCACACCTTTCAGTATCTTGGAAATGTTTTAGCAGAAAGACATACCCAATTGTATTGTGGCTCTCTTAAGTATTTCTGTTGCATCAGGGTCAATCAAAAACACACTGGACTATTTTCCATTTGCTCAATGTGTTTTAAACTGTCTTGTACCGATTGTACATGCACAGATGAAGATTTCATATACTTGGAGTACCATTATCGATTAATCATATTTGCATTTTATAACATATAGAATACTTTAGTATTTTACTTTGGCACTGTACCAAGACAGGACAAATATAGAAATATTAAAATGTAGCATAATAAAACAGTTAATCCAATTTATATTAAATCATTTCACACACCATGCTTATCACTATTCACCACAATTTGATGTTTTTCTATATTACAGTACATCTTTAGATGTCTTTCAGCAAATTACCATAATCATCTGAAGATGCATATCTTCAGACTGGAGCATTGTCTTTGCTATATTCAAAATAATACATTTGTGAACTTTGAAAAATATGCATATTATTTTAAGTTTTTTTCTTGTTCATTCAGTGTGCCTAAAAGAAGCTCTCTGATGTGATGTCCTGAATAAATAATTAAGTTCTTCAGTGAGGAAGTATTGTAATGTACAATTGGCACTAGCACAAAAAGTCTTTTTTTCTACTTATTTGTCTTACTTGAATTTGCATGTATACACTGATAAGTGAGAATAAAGCTATTTTGACTGATGAAGGTATTTCCTTATAAATATATTTTTCATTGATCTACTCAAAGTAAATCTAATCACAAGAGAACGTGTATCTCTTTATAATGTCTATTATACTACAAGCAATTGCCAGAAAGGAGTGGATTTCTTAAAGAAATCCTAGATCAGTAAAATATTTTGAAAGAAATGAAAGAAATGCTAGATACAGGCTGGCTGCTGTAAGTCTTTGCTGATGGATGGAAAGGGCAGGACACGGTGTGGCTGTGCTGAAGTAATAAGAGCTGCTCAGCACAGTGTCCTTTAACGAGCCTGCAGGGTGGCTGACTGCTGCCGCTGCCTGGGAGGGAGGATGAGGTAGATAGCTGGTTTGTGACCAGGACTGTGAGCCAGAGCAGCTGGCGGTCTCTCCCAGTGGGTATAATGAATGTGGATCTTGTTAAATCTATGGACCCCTTGGAAATGGTCTGTCTTGACTGAAACCAGCTGTGAGTCGGTTCTCTCACTCTCAATCTGCTCATCTGCTGTCTAAACAATTGGAAATGTAAGACAGCGCTTTAGGGAGTCAGGTTAAAAAAATGTTTATTTGCATTTGGAAAGTGGGACTCTCTCTGGTGCATGTGATAAAACATAGTATAAAAAATTCACAAAAATATGTTCTTAATGTCTATACTATACATATCCTGAAATTACTGTCCCGTGTTAAACTTTATACAAACTTTTGAGGAAACCTTTTAGAATCTAAAGACTATAAAGGTTCCCCAAACGATACATACCTGTATATACTGTCATTTCATATTCTCTCAAGTGTTACTGTTTTTTTTCCATTTCAGGCACAAATGACAACTGTTCCTTTTTAAATCTAATTTCATGTCCTCTGAGTAATATTTTTGACATGCTGATACATGAAACACATTTATATTTTTGTATTTGCTTGCTTGTTGTTTTCAGTGGTAGTCAACTAAAGCCTGAAAATAAATCCTCGAGAAACTCTGTTTGCCGTACACTAAAAATAAGGGCACCTTGTGTCTAATTTTTGACTAACCAGACTGCTGAAAATAGTAATTTGCTTCCACTAAGTAGACCACACTGTTAAAAAAGCAAATCTGGTGCAAAACAAATACAAAACTTGGTCATGCTGTGAAGCGAAGTCAACATCTGTCTAAAAGTTCACTATAAAGTTTACTGGTCTGAAAGGTGCTCCAAACATATTGAGATTATACAGTATATGTGTGTAAACATGTCAAGCTCTATGTGTGTATACAGTAGGTATACAGAGAACATCAAAAGCAGCTTATTACTTCTTATGTAAACAAATTCACAAAACTATAAGGTAAATTGTAATCTTTGTGTAGCGGGACCATAAAAAATGACATTTCATTGAACAGACATCACTTAGGTAAATTCATTATGCTGATTTACATTTGTAATCAATAGGGTTGATCAAGAGTTGGTCTGTTCTAAAAGTCACTGACTAGCAGTGTGTGTAATTTCCACTGGAAGAAATACAAGCTCTACATCTGTGACGCATCCTTTGCATCAGGTTGTGATGTTGGATTCTGTCTCATTACACTCATGGAGCCTTAACAAGTATGTGCCTGTTCACTGATTTCTGAGAACCTACTGTAGATGCCACACTTCATCCGAGCTCATCCCACAAATGTTAAATGAGACTTAAGTAGGGCATTCCTGGCACAAATGCAAGAAGACATCATGTGCTGTGGCCAAGTTTTAATTTATAGCCTCCATAAATTCAGTGTTCTGGCAAGTCAAGTGTGGCAGAGACATCATCCAGACAATGCTCCACATATAGAGCACTATTCTGACTGCACACACACTCCATCCTAGACCATCACACTTAGACCTCCCCTTCGACTGGTTGGTTGTACACAACAATCAGCAAATAGCATACTGTATGTCTCTGCACATCTGTGCTGCACTTGCTGTTGTCCATTAGGGTGGTCTGCACAAAACACACTAAAACTGACTTCACAGTGTAAGGGCGCCTGAGATATCTAAGTCCAGTTCCAACATACTAATATCACAAAAGCATTGTTCTCTTGATAATCAGGACTTATTGCTTTCTTTCTGTGTTTTTTTTTTCGCCATGCTTGAGATTTAACAGGGATTAAGGTAGTGAGGTGATTTAGTAGACAGACTAAATTCAGTAGATAGTGACTCAAGAGTCGCTATTAATCATGAATGAATAACTAATAAAAAGTGACAAAAATATTTAATCAATATCCAACGTAGTTAGATTAAAAAAGCAGTGCATAAGTGTATTTATTTTTTATGCTCATTGTATGTATATGTGATTTGTTTGTGCATATGTAAAGTTGCATCAGACTTAAATGTTGACATTCTTTCTGTCTTACTATAGATTATACTACAGTATATAGTTGTTCAAACAGTATCACAGTAAGACAGAAGTGGATTATTACCCTGAATTTTACATTAAAATATGGCTTCAGTATCTCATGTGTTTCAGAATTTTTAGACTGGGGTTGGCATTCTTGGGAATGGCTGCTGGAATGAGCTGGCGTGCCTCTATCTCAGATATGTTTCTGTATCACCTCTGGAAGACTCTGGACTACATCCTCAACTGCTGCAGAGTTGGCTTTGGCTGTTTGTGGGGTTTGTGGCTGTGAAAAATCAAAACACACTTTTCTTGGTTCTTGGAGAATTTTTGGATGGATATTTTTTTACAGGAAAATGTTGATTGTTGTTTATAACACATATTACATCGAAAAATGCTAAATTACATTAAAGACAGTTACTGCTCAAAGAAGAAAGAAAAAAAGTACTTATATGTCTGTATGTATTTGTTTACATTTCCCAGAGGCTGAAGGCAGCACTGACTCACCACCCTGCAGCCATGCCCAATGGGACCATGAACACGATGGGTCACATGATGGAGATGATGTCGGCTCGACAGGACCAGACTCCTCACCACCACCTGCACTCGCACCCGCACCCGCACCAGCCTCTGCAGCCTCCTCCACATGCCTACCAGCACCAGCACCCCCCACCCCATCATCATGGGCACCATCAGCCCTCTCACCACCACCCACAGAGCCATCAGCACCCCCACTCGCACCCGCAGCATCTGCACAGCCACCCCGCACACCACCAGTCCTCGCCACACCAGCCTCTCCACTCTGGAGCACAGTCTCAGGTACCTGCCACCGCTGCTGTCTGCTGCTGACCTTAGGACTCTTGTTATGTATCGGTTTCAAACAAGAAAAAGAGGTGTTAGTGGGGGCAGTAGGGGGCGCTCACCCTGCAGTCTGTGGGGGTCCCAATGCCCCAGTATAGTGACGGGGAGACTACACTGTAAGAAGGTGCAGTCTTTCACATGAGACGTAAAACTGAGGCCGTCACTCTGTGGTCGTTTCTCCCTGAGAGTAGGGAGAGTAGGGTTGTTACCCTGGTGTCCTGGTCAAATTTCCCCCTGGTCTCTACCAGTCATGGCCTCCTAGTAATCCCCATCTATCAATATTGGCTTCATCGCACTGTTCTCCTCCCCACTGAGAGCTGGTGTGTAGGGAGCGTACTGGCGCACACTGACTGCCGTCGCATCATCCAGGTGGGGCTGCACACTGGTGGTGGAGGGGAGTCCCCATTACCTGTAAAGCGCTTTGAGTGGAGTGTCCAGGAAAGTGCTATATAAGTGTGAGGAATTATTATTAAGAAAAAGATTACTGGAGTTGATTAGTTTTCCTTTCCTTTAAATGTGTTTTATTAGTGGGTGAATCTTATTTTATGCTGAAGTGGTACTTACTGTATTTTCCTTTGTCCAAAACTAGTGCGTCACTTGTGATGCACAGCACTGTGAGCGAAAACACAGCCATTAACTTGGGTGCTACAATTATATTAACACAAGACTGTTAGTTTCCTCTCTGGTAATAAGAATGTTCTAATTAAAATAATCAAGTTGGAACCTTTAATGTGAAAATACAAAAAGTACCCATATAAGTCATATTTATTATGTTTGCAGTGATTTAGAGGGCTGTGATTACCAACTCAGAAAATATCTTTCATATGGTGAAATCATGTTTGAGGTTATCTCTGGTGGTCCAGACTTGAAGTTTTATTCAGTGATAATTGTTTAAACATTTTCATCTACACATAGTTGAACACAACTCCTTTAAATATAGAAACATACTAATGACTTACCTGGAGGAAGCAGTATGTACTGTTATTCTGCATGTGCTATACTGTGCATAAATAATGTCTAATGGCTGTTACTGTACTGTTACTATGCAGTTAATTGATTTATTACCTAAAAAGCAAAAATAAGGATTATAATTGAAGAATAGCCTTTTTTTGTCATGATCAAATTTAATTTACTCATCAGGCTAATCTGTGAGTTATTCTATTTTCTTTATATTCTTTTTCATATAAATCTTATAGATCAGACATTTACATACCATTTAGGATTTTCCACCTGTAATCATACTTGATTTTGCTGTGCGTAATTAATTATAATGTAAGGAATACCCTCAAATAACTATTTGTCATGTAAAGACCTTAAGATCTCTGAGTTTAAGGGAGAACAACAACAGAGTTCAAGAGGGTTGTTCAGTGTTTTTTGTTGTAAGGAGATAGTGATTAAAGAAAAATATTACCTTGCTGATTAGTAGTTAGAATATGTGCACAACTGTTTGAGATACTACTGTCTTTTGTTTTGCAAAACCCTGCATCCTATTTTTTCGGTTTTCTGAGTGACCAGATTATTGTGCCTTGCTGTATTTTTGCAATGTCAAAAGTAACTGCATTCTTCAAATAATTGTGCTCTTTATATATTTATTCGCTTAAAAAAGTCATCTTGCTCATAATTCTGTTATGTGTTTCAGGTAATTCTACAATAAGATGGAGAGATAAGAAGTATTTATTGTTAATTTTAGACATACTGTAAAATCACTTTCATTTGTAATAACCATAGAGAATTATCGATTTGTAAAAAGTACATAAAAAAGCCCCCCATGGTTATGTATAGCCCAATTTGAGGTGGCATACAGTGGGTCTTTAGGGACAAGACATAGTCATAAGATAAATTTCACCAGTGGAAATGTTCTTAATATTATTGACAAATATTATTAGTTATTCAGTGTATTTTAACAGTGTAGAGGGCTACCTACTAAACCGTTTAATCTATACTATACCATTCATAGCAGCAAACATACAGAAAACATGCAGCCTGTTTGTGTTGCCCTTAGAGGTGTTTTTCTTTCATTTCTGTAGACCAGACATAGATTGTATTGCATTTTTATTCTGAAAGTCTTTCAGGTGGTGGCTGGCAGTTAATTTTAGACTCCTGCCATTCTTGACAGAGAGCCAAAATGTCTGCAGATCAGGGGCTTGGGGACTGAAGTGAATGGGAACGGGAGTGATGTTTGTGTCTGCTAGCATCTGTGCCATCTCTTGTCTCTCTATTGTTTTCCATTTTTATTTACTCGGACACGTCGCCAAAAGCGCCAAAATAATCCCGCTGTGTTTGACAGGTATCACCTGCAGCCCATCAGATGCAGCCGACTCAGACACTGCAGCCTCCACAGGCCGCTGGGGGCCGGAGGCGGAGGGTGGTGGACGAAGACCCAGATGAGAGGAGGCGGAAATTTCTTGAAAGAAATCGAGCGGCTGCCACGCGTTGCAGACAGAAGAGGAAAGTGTGGGTGATGTCACTGGAAAAAAAAGCAGAAGAACTAACTCAAACAAACATGCAGCTTCAGGTATGGGCCATACGACTTCACCAAACCAGAGTGTTGACACATACTAGAAAATGCGCAGTACCCTTCGTGTTTCCATACAAATGCTTCCCTCAGGATGAGCTCCCTGAAGACATCTGCAGCCGTGCTAAAGAGCTGCACAGCAGAATTCTGAGCAGGTTGTTCATCTCTTCCCACTCGAATGCTCTTGATGAATTTCAGGCCTTGTAAGAGTTACAGGCAGAAATTAAAGGACTTAGTTCCAAGTGTTAAATATAGGTTTCTTTGTAACTTATATCAATAAACATATAGTGGCATTTTCAGCCTAGCTTACAGTTGGCAATATTTAAAACATTCAGTGTTACTCTGTAATGTACTATAGGCAAAAGTTAAGTAAACATAAAAATGAGACTTCCAGACAGAAAAATAAGTGGATAGACGATGGCTCTCTTTAAAAAACTTTGCAACACCTATGTCAAATTAGCTTTAAATAATTCTGTATTCTTTCCCTTCCTGCTGTCATCATAATAACATTCAATTAATTATGAATCACATGAATCATGATTTGATGAAAGCCATTTAGTTATGTTTTTGTTTTCACTTGGCAGTTAAGGAATATATGTTTAAAAATATTGTACTGCTCAAACTGAATTTTTTAACAAATAAAAAAGTATAGTTTTGGATTTATTTGACTAAATATTTTAAGTAAATATATTTTACTTAAATTACTAAAAATTAGTAGACCTGAATTAAACTTTGATATGCTGTTCAGCATTGTCTTAGTGTTACGAACAAAATATTGAAATCTGGAATGAGAGTCTAAATTCTCTTTGTATGCTGCCACTCTTACTGAAACAATGTGGTTTACAAAAAGCTCTGAAAAACATTATGTAAAAAATATCAAAGGGAAATCTAAAGTTCTAGCATCTGTTTCTGTCACGCCATGTACACCTAGAGGGCACTGCTTTTCTGTCCTGTTCCTGGTTCCCTGTGATTATTCATGTCTTTCCGGTTTGTCTTGTTGTGTAGCCTATTTACTTCCTGTGTCTGCTCTGCTCCTGGCTCAGCAGTGAGGCTACGGATGTCCTGAGACCCACCTAGCACCAGGTCTCCCCACGTCCGTGGCCTGAGGGCGTAGGTTTCTTTTCGACATCGTCCGACCCCCTGAGCCCGGGCTAACCTCTATGTTGCCCCTTTTGCCACTACGCATAGGGTCTTTATTGCCCTCCTGGCCATTCCATGGCTTGCCCTTCAAACATCTGTAACAGATTTGGCCAATGCAGATTTTTTGGAATTACAGAAGAAAATAAGAAACGTTAAAAATTAGAGGAAGCCATTCTGTCCATCTTGCTCATCTGCTTGCTTAGTAGATAAAAGACTATTAAATTCCAGGTACCTGCATCTTGAAAGAGTCCTGAGTTTGATCTTCGATTACCTGGTTGGGAGCCTGTTCCCAACACACACAAGGTTTTGTGTGAAGAAGAGTTTCCTGTTATTCATTCTCAGTTTCTCATTGTGACACTGCACTCTTTCTTTTGCTGCTGACCATGAAGCAGCCCACTGGGTGAACTCGATATTTACCCTTCATGATTACATACATTTTGATATAGTTTTCTCTCCTTTGTTCTAGACTTAATAAATGTAGTTCTTTTAGGCACATTCAAATAACATTCAAAATTTCTTCTTTGCCATTATTTCTTTAAGAATCACCCAGCACTCAATATCTTCTTATGAAAAAGTGAGTGCACCCCTAGGTCTGCCATCTCAGTTAAGAGGGTGTGTAGAGTCAGATTAGCTGATCATCAGGAAGTGATTCTCCACATCTATATAAAATCAGAAGCTTTGTCAATTTGCTCTTAAGCACTCAGGTATGTGGTAACACAGCATGCCCAGATCAAAAGTAATCTGTGACAATCTTTGAGAAAGATTTGTTGCTGCAGTTGTTGCTGTTACAAAGCCATTTCCAAACAATATGAAGTCCATCATTCCATGATAGGGAAAATCTACAAATGGAAAAAAAATTAAGGCTGTTGCCAACCTACCATGTCTCTCTTGGTATTTTAAATGTCAAGTGTTCAAGAACAAGTCACAATGCATTAGACTGAGAGAGAACAGACTGGATCTTGGCAATTTTTCAGAGGTGAAGAAATTATTCTCAGACACCAATGATGAGTCCATTCTAACAACTAGATTAGTGACAGAAGTTGTTACTGGAATATTATGATTTCCAATATTAAGATAAGAGAAACTGGAATTCTGGACCTGATGGGGGATGCCCACCAACAATAATTCTGTTTTGCTACTATTTAATTTTAGAACATAATACACTACATCCATGCCCCAACCTCCTCAAAACGAACACTAAATTGCTCAGGGCTGCTACTGGGTGCCATTAACATAGCAATGCAAATGATACCATGCTTCCTGATGGGAGTTGATGGAGGGTAAACAGAATGGTAAACAGGAGGGTAAATAGAATCAAATGCCTAGAGAGGACCTTGTGGAACACAACAGGAAACCTCACAAGAGGGTAACTTGCACTACCAAGTACAATAGGTCCATATCTGTTGGAAACATATAATAATAATTGCTTATACTGTACTTATTTAGCTGTTTCCTGGACACTCCACGCTCACCTTACACCAGCTCTCAGTGGGGAGGAGAACAGAGTGATTAAGCCAATTCATAGTGTCCCTGTAACTATACTGGGCATTAGGACCCATTCAGACTGCAGGGTGAGCACCCCCTACTGGCCTCACTAACACCACTTCCAGGAGAAAGCCTGCTGAGCTTCAGTGGGCTGAATACAGTATCAATATGAATGAAACCAGTTTAAAAATTGTTCCTGAAAGTCCAAAGGTGTTCCTAAGACTCTCTAAAAGGATAAAATAATCTAATGCTGTAGTGAAGTCTAAAAAAATCACAGGCTATTTGTCACCTTAAGCAATGCATTTTCTGTGTTATGCGCAGTTCTAAACCCCAACTGAAATTCTTCATAAAGATTGTTATGTGCAAGATGGCTATGCAGTTGAATAACAACTACCTTTTCTGGGATTTAAGGAAGGAATGGAAGATTGGAGATTTTTGTAGTACTGAATTAACACAACAAGACAGAAGGAAACCATTCTGTACGTGTGTATTGGGGTGGGGGGCAGAGAAACATGCTTTTAGTAATGTGGTAGGAATTGGGGGATTCAAGCAGAATGAAGACGTTTTCTTTTTGAAAATAATATCCTTGACATATTGTTGGGTAAAAACAGAAAAATTGCAAAGTTACTAAGAGGCCAGTCATGTTTGGCAAAAAACTAATTCTGTCTTTGACCAGAAGAACCTCATACCAGCCATCAAGCACGGTAGTGGGGAGGTGATTGTTTGAGCCTCCTTTGCTGCTTCAGGACCTGGACACCTTGCTATTGTTGAGTCCACCATGAATTTCACACTATACCAGAATATTCAAGCGAAAAATGCTAGAATGTCTCTCCGACATCTAAGACTGAACAGAATGTTAATCCTGCAACAGGAAAATTATCCAAAACTTACAAGCAAATCTATAACAGAATGGCTCAAAAAGAAAAAAAATCAGGATTTTGGAATGGCCAACTCAAACTCGAGACCTAAATCTCATATACTGTATGTGCTGTTGTGAGACCTAAAGAGCTGTGTTCTCTAAGGAAGAGTGGGTTAGAGTTCCTCCCAGGAGATGTGAGAGACTCTTACAGAAAAGGTTTAATTCAAGCTATTGCTTCCATACATTAACCAGTAATAGAATTAAGACACATTGGTCTGTAATTTTCTGAGAGTTTTACCTCACTTATTATGAATTGATTTCGCTTGAAATTTGCAGTATGCAATTGAAATTTCATCAAGGTATTTTGTAACTATTTTCAGGTATAGAATTACCGCAAAGCCAAGGTTTCATTTATGATAACATAATTTATTTTTTTAACTTGTCTTTCAGAATGAGGTTACAATGCTGAAGAATGAGGTAACCCAGCTGAAACAACTTCTTTTGACGCATAAAGACTGTCCAATCACAGCCATGCAAAAGGATTCACAAGGTTATCTAAGTGAGTAACCATTAAATACTGTGATTTCCGGTTGATTTTTTACAGTTGATTGAGAAACTAATAGCAGTCTACATTTATCAAGTTTGTTAAAGCAGTGAACTGGAGCCTGCTAAAGAACCCCTTATCTCCAAGAAGTATTTTTGTGCTTTGAAATGTTGTTTTTGTTTAAAATTGCTCATACTTCAATCATCAGAAATGCTTTCTCTTGGCTGATGCTGTTATTATATTTTCTGTGATGCCTGTTCAATTTAATTAGTGTTACAGAGCTGAGTAATGTAACAAAAGCACAATGTAACTGGAAAATGTACTGTACAATGCCAGGACTAGTTTTCAAGGCATTACCGGAACTGGCTTCCAGGAATGAATGCTTTACTCTATCAAAGTAAATCACCTTTAATGCCAACCTAACGAGCACTTTCTGTGTGCCTGCTAGTTGAAATAGCACATGCTCCTCAGAATTAATTTTCACAGTGTTCTGAACTTTTGTGGTCCATCACATGAACTAAAGCATAAAAAATATCTGAACTATTATTTACCAAATATTGAACTAATTATATTTTACATATTTTACATCATAGACAAAATCTGTGATCAGCTTGAATGCGTTCAATCTTTAACTTTACCACACTCATCATAAATTTGTTTAGCTGCATTTTTATCCGAACAGAATTAGATTTGTACTGATTACAGCTTAGACTTCAACTTGGCACAACTCGATGTACTGAAAAGTTAATTTCAAGTTTTTAATTGTACTCTTTTTACATGTCAGGTTTAAGAGGTTCTATGACACTGCCATAGGAAATGATCTGTATGGATTGCCTCTGGTAGCGTCATACTAAATGTTTAAAACTGAAAAGCATTTATACAAAAATGCAGTAATATTCTATGTTTTTCATGTCCTTAGATTTCACCATTTTTTTTTCAGAATGTATAGACTTACTATTAATCTATATATAATGACATGAGAATCAGGATCAGAGAAACTGTTTTTAAAATATATATATTTTTTGTATTGCCCTTTTTGTAATCCAACAGGTCCAAGTACATTTCTTTTCTAAAGAGCTGTGTGCCAGTGTGTAGCCTCCTTAATTTTGCTTCAATGTTTGCAAATGTATATGTGTCTTAAAAGAGAATGTGTCTGATGATCTAAAGCTCATTGTATGTTTATGCTAGATCTGAGTTACCAAACATGTTATTTCATTAAGCAAAGTAACTTGTGGACTATTGTGTCCTTTTTCATGTCATTGTTGTTGTAAAATATTCTTTTCCTACCATTGCTGATTTTAGCACATGCTCACCATCATGTGCAAATTTAGTTGTCTTCTTTTTCTAAATACTGTATGGAATGAAATTAGATGTGTATAGAAACATAAAAACCATATTACGTTATTGCTATTCATATTACTGATACTTGGATTATTAGGGAAATATCACTGGGACTGCCTTGTCTGTGTGAGTTTTGAAATGAATACAATAAATAAATATACAATTTCACATGTACAATATCATAAGGCATTCTTCTTTTTGTTAATTCTTATGTAGGTTTTCTAAGAAGGATTGTAATTACTAGTAACCCTATATACATATTCTTATAAACTCTTTATTCTTGGTTTTCAAAAGCAAACTATCTCAACTTTAATTTATCACATTTGCTAAATGGGCTACACATAAACAATGGCACGTTTTATTTAAAGTACTGGAAATTGTTAACAGATTTTGTACTAAAGGTATTTGAGCACAAAAATCTAAATGAAAAAATCCACCAAATATATTTTATATATATTAAATTAACATTCTCAAAGTGATCACAAAACAGCGAGATGCTTTATACAGAGCAAAATGAAAAATGAAGCTGCCAAACTTGTCATCTTGACAAAAAATATCTTTAGGAAATACAGTGACAAAACCTGAGTTATGAATTCCTGGCAGAACAGACTAACATGTTGTTGTCTGCAGGTCCAGAGAACAGTCCTCCTGGGAGTCCGGCTGCAGTCTGTTCCCAGCAGCAAGTAATCCAACACAACACCATCACCACCTCCACCACTGTTGTTGGAGAAGCTGTAGGCAGCGCCGCTTTAAACCAGCTGACCAACCACAGAACTGACATGAACCCCATCCTTTAAAATACGAGTGATGGAACATGGTCGCAGAAAACGTGCAAAAACCATTTTCTCATTCAGGATATATATTTTTTAAGAAAAAAACCTATGAAGCCTGGAATCAAATTTGTTTAAAGACTTTTTATGTGTTTTATAAATTACTTTAACATGTCCATCTTTATTATGTTTGTTGACTGTCATTTATTTTAAATGTTGTAAAAAGGGAGAAATACAATTTATTCAGTATAATCTGGAAAACTGCTTCTTCTGGTACAGATTTTTAGTGACAACCAAAGGAAGCCTTTAGTTTTGCTTCAAGCATTGAATGTTGCTTTCTCTTATACTGCTCTATATTCAAACTAATTATTTATTTTTCAGTATTATTAAATGTCACAACTACAGCCATAAAACTTTTTAAAGTTTTAAAATATCGTCTTCGGTAATGCCAAAAAATCTTAAAACAGAATTTCACCTTTTACTAAACCTAATGAATGATAACAATGGATGTCAAAATTTGTGTTATGCAAAAACGTTTCTTTCATAATTACAGAATTAGAGTTCTTTATCAGTATAGGATTTGGCTTTCTAGGCTTTTACTTTTGTTGATAAAGACAACAAGGTTTTCATATGAGTAAAGGCATGAAAAGTAGAAAGGGAATAGTGTTACTGTGCTTCAGTTACTGATTTCATTTGATGAGTCAGTTACTGAGATTTTACTTAATAGTTTGTGGTGTTTTCTTAGACTTTAAAATTGTTTTTGCTCTTGTTCTTGTTGATGTTATATTTATTGTGATACCCTTGTTTTAAAGATTTAGGAGTTTAACAGGGGTACAGCAATGCAAAATATATAAAACATCTAAATTGTACAAAGTTGTGTACTTCCATAGTGTCTGTCAGAGCTCTACTACCTTCTATAGCTGCATTCACAAGTGCACTGCATAATGCTACACATAATGTTTCTTTTTGCAGTTGTAAAAGAGTAGCATCACATCCATTTCTTCACAGAACATACTTCCATGTTTAGTTTAACAATATGGGAATGCCGTGGAATGACCAAATTCAAACATAGTTTCAGATCATCACCTTTGCAATAAACCCGTTTTTATTACTCTGAATACAATGTCCTTAAAAGCATTAACATATTTTTGTATGTACAGACAGTCTGAATAGTAAGCATTTAAATTGCATTACAAAGGAGTTGTTATAAAACTTCCTTAGTTTTAAAAATTGGTTATTTTTCTTAGTGCCAAGCTGTGGGTCAGAGTGAGGAGAGAATTACTTGAAAATCAGACTGATAAAAGTCTAGGTTTCAGACCTATTTCTGGAGGTCACTACAGCCTTTAAATATAAATAGAGGGAATTTTCAGACAGAAATGGAACTAAATAAAATTTGGCATAACTCTTGACCTGGAGGCTTGCAGTCTCTGCAGGTTTTGATTCCACCTTAATGACCTAATTGACCTAAGTATTACCTTAACTAGCCTAATTTAACATTTCTCAAAGGTCTTCAGATGTTGATGATTTAAACAATCCTAAAATACCCTGGTATGGCCCTGAAGAATACTATGCACATTAAAGTGCAATCTGCAGATTATTGATCCTGTGGTTTCATATTAGTTTTACATAAAAACTACACCTAGTGTTCCTGCTTTAATATTTTAGAAAGTTTGGTTGCACCTATGTAAGAATTCATGTGTGTTTCTGTTTCTTATTTGCTCACAAAAGTTTTCAGATTTAATTATGTAAATGTTTGAGTGAAACAAAATGAAACAATGGAACAAGAGCACAAACCAGTTTTTGTACTAGCTAAGAATTCTCCTTCATTTACTTATGCTCTTTAGCCACAGTGCCTGTGATAATATTTGTATTTTTCTTCTGTCATTTGTTGACAGATGAGTTTTGTATCTTCTACTGGCTGGACTTAAGAAAACAATTTGTCGATATTCAGTAGAATATCAAGTTACTTCAAATCTCCTATGCAATGCAAAGAATCTTTCTGTTGATAATTTATAGGTGACATTTTAAAGATCTCTGCAAGCTAACCACACATAATTTCCTGTTGTTTTGCATCTCAACCATTGCCTTTTATCTGCGCCCCAGGTTATATCTAAGTGCATAAACATAGGAAAGGATGGTTTCCGGAAATATTAGCTGCTGTAGGTCTCTGATAAGTCATGACTAAAAACCAGGGGAGCTAAGGTCTAACCTACACAGTGCCTTTGTCAGAGCTACCGAACAATGTATTCGTACATCACCGTTACTCAACTTCTTTAGTGCACTGTCAGACAGTATATGATTTATTGGCAGTCTTATTTTGCATAGGACAGGGATCAACAAATACTTTAGATTAGGTTTTGTATAGTTGGTGCTTACTTTGAAATTAGATGTAATTATTTAAAACCAAAAATAAACGAATCCATCTGTACATTCCACGATAAGAAGAAAACAACTGTGTTTTATGTAAGATGTTAGAGAGTTAGAAGTGTATTTATACTGTTTTCCTGTATAATGGTACTGTACTTAAAAATATTAAATCACTGATCATACTAGAAGCAGTTTTGTTACACACTAAAAAAATTAAGGATAAGGAGAGTTTGTTTAAGCATATTAAGAAAAATTATGATGGTAAAGTGAGTATTTTAGAAACTTCAGTTTAAAAGTATTCTCTTCATAGATATATCAGTGTTTATTAATAAGACTAATTTCAGAGAGGTTCAAGTATAATTGGCTAGAATCAGCCAACCATATTTGATAGTTTTCCACTGAAAAATGGTAGACCACATTATCTTACTTCCAGAAAGTAGACATGTTTAAGGTAGCAGCAGCTTTCTGTACCTTTGAAATGTGCCTTTTGTTTAGATCTGCATGGAAAAAAATACTATTAGTATGTACTGTACTTTTCATCACATACATTTTGGCCCAATATTGGCATTGGTTTTTATGACTGATAAAATGTATTTTCCCATGATAAAATGTATTTTCTCAATTATGCTTACTGCTACAAAGCGTATAGTTGTATATTTCCCAATTCTGAATGACTTACTTGTCAATACCTTTCTTTTCAAGGATTTTAATTTACCCATTGACTGATAATGTAAGTTAAAATCTCTTTTGGTGATCAGACATTTAAAGGAGTTGTAAGGTCCTGGATGTAGCATATATGAGGTAAAGTTATCTATTCATCTACCTACTGTAGTTAAGGCGTAGAAGAGAAACCATTGGCTTGCAATAAAAAAAATTAGTAGTCTCATCTAGGTGTTAGAGTCAAGATTCTTAAACAGTATTATCCACTAAGGCTCAGCAGAAAAAAACAGGATGAATAATAAGCACCCAGATGTTTTTTTTTAGTGTATTCAAAGTCCAATTTATGCAGCTGCTTTGCAGTTTGTGATTGATCCTCAGACACTGCAGTTTTGAGAACTAATAAAAACATATTTTCTAGATCTCCCAAGTCATGTATACTGTACATTACAGGGCTCATGTATGAATCAATTGGTGTTGTGTAAATGTCTCCCGTCATGGAGGACCTGGTCAGTTGGCACAGAGGAGCATAACCCTTACCCTAACACTGTGCATGCCTGTGACAGATACACTCATTAGCCCTTTTAATATTTAATTTGAGAAAATACAAGTCCAGAATTGGTTACTTATTGTGCTATCCATAAACATATTTTAAGTTTTAGAAGGTATTTGATCAGTGTGTCACCATTATACTTTGTCATTTAGTTTTATCAGGATTTAAACATTTTTCAGCATAACATAATCTTCTGGACCTTGCACAGTTTTATAATATTCCCTGCAGTGAAACAAAAGGATTACAGGAGGTGGTTAACCCAGTTTTCTGTCATAGTTATAGTCATAGTTATCCTGCACAAAGGCAATATACTGTAGTTAAAATTAATTAATTAGTTAATGCTAACACTTACAAAGTGAACTACGTAAGAATGCCATTTTTTGCTAAGCTAAAACAAATAGCGATTTAATTCAGATTAACTTTTGCAATGAACTAACATTTTCTCCAGATATTAGTTTATTTACAGTACTTAATGTTCTTTAATCCATACCTTGAAAGCAGATTCAACCGAGTTTTACAGAAAGCAGTTTAAAAACATTGATTATAAGACCAGAGAAGCAAAAGCTCATAATCCACAAGAAAACAGCATCACATACAAGAGACAAATATCATAAAATGTTGATTTGTTTCTTTGATAATTTAAATTTGTTCTTTAATATTTACCTTTTAAGCTAGTTTGCAATGATCTACACATGAATTTATGTAGCTTGTTTATGCACTTTCTCTTCTGTGATAGCAGAGGATAAAATGGCCATATGTTGGAAGTCAGTCATTATCTGTTATTACACCAACTAAAGAGACTTGTAATTAAGACTGTGTACCTAACACATACTGTCAGAAATATAATGGAACACAATTACTAACCTAAAAAAAACAACAACACATGAGGAACATAAATTTGAATGCCTGCTGAAATGAAAGAAAATGTATTCTTGTACCTAGCACTTCCCTTCAGAAGAGTACCACAGTAAAAGAGAAGTTTAAGCTTTGAAATGTTTAAATCATCAGTTGTATAATCTTCTTGGTAAAATTAAGAATTTTTCATCCTCCTTTCCTTAGAGTAGTATTACCAAAAATAAGTATTAGTAATATTTAAAAATGTAGCAAAGATTGCATTATTTGAAAACTGTTTTCTGATGTAAACTGGAAATTTTCTTTTTATGTAATTTAGATTGAACTGCATGATGTGCAAAGGTTAATAATATATAAAACTGATTGTAATTGTAATCCCAATAGGCCCACATCAAAATGAGTAGTCTCATCTGGATGTAAAGAGTCAAGATTCTTAAACAGTATTATCCACTAAGAATCAGCAGAAAAAATCAGGACAAAGTTTTCCACATTGCTTGCTTTAGTGTAAGATTGCATGAAAACATTGTTTGAAAAAAAGTACGAATCTCACTTCTTATTTAATAAATTACTGTTCAAAACCAGTCTGCTAGTTTCATTGACTGGAAGGTTTGTAAAACCTCTTGATAACTGATGATCCAATGTACATAAATCAAAATAATCTAATCACTCCACATAGCAGAAATTGAACAACTACAGTACTAATTTCCATTTTGCTGGCTTAAACTTTTTTTAACTGGAACTCATATAGAGGTCAAACAAAACAACCGAAATTGACTAAAAAATGCATTGGTCTATTAAATATGAAAGAAGAATGTGGTAGGGCCATTTTGTAAAACTTGTATGGTTGGTAATCAGCTGTGACGTACTTTTTGCATTCATTTTAAACTGCTACTTCCAGATGTTCTTCAGCATTTTCATTTGGTAGTGGAATGGTTGGGAAAGCATGTGGACTGTGCTTTGCAAATATCTGAAAGCTAAAGAAGTGGTTTCTTTTTTTTGTTGGATAATGCCTATATATATATAAATATATAAATATTGTATAAAATTTCAAACTTTTTTACCCTGTATATGTAATACAACCACCTTCCTTTTTTGGAAGGAGTAAAGCTTTGGTACATATTTGTAAATATCTTTACATAGCACTTAATACTTTTGTCAAACTTAATTTTTTCCTCCTTTTTAAGGCACGGTTATTGTTAATATTAAGCAATGAATTCATACATGTCTGCTTTGTATTGTACATTTTTATGTTTCTTAATTTCATGATTTTTATTTTCATTTGTACAGGAATTAAATATAACTGCAAATACAGTATGGAAAATAAAGCACTTGAATGCAATAAATAGTGTTGTTTACTGTGAAAAACTGCCAGGTGTACCACTTTGCCCAGATCGTGGTCGCCGACGATAAACGCAAGATAAACAATGTTTTTTTCAAACCGCTCCACAAATTTTCTCACATGCAAGTATTCTCCAATATCATCACAACAAAACCATAAAGTGTGTTTCCACAGATGTGACACTATTGTGCAATAAACCAATAAATTAATGAACTAGCAGAACCCCATAAAAAAACCCAGCCAGCACAGCATTTCAATATCATACATTTTTACCAACGAAACCGAAAAAGCAAAAACCAGCAAAAAATATATATATCCCATGTTTTTACCTTATTCTGAAGCATGATACATATCCAAAATAACCCAGACTAGTTTATCTCCAGACCTGGAGGCTATTGAACGTTATTGACTTTGTAGTAAATGTTTGAAGAGGGACCGTGAGAAATAAGGCGATCTGATTGGTAAAAAGTGCTGTCATTCATTGTATTTTTAGCCATTCAGAGCCCTTAGGGGGTAAGACTTCCTCTAGAAGCCTCAGGCTGCATTCCGCCTGTTTTTTAGCTGTCAATCATTGACTCAAAAGGGGAAATCAAACAGTTTTTATCAGTTTCTTATCAGTGCCTCTTTTTTTCCACACCAGAAGGCCTCTGAGGTAACAGCAGATAAAGACTCTATAGCAGTCTAAAGGTTTTTATAGCAATTGCAATGGTTTATATTCTTATTATTTTCAATATTTTTATGATTTTTTATTATAGGCGTGAAATTTAATTCCAGGTCCAGTCTTCACAAAAAATTATGTAGAATTTTTTCGAATTGATCAATTTGTCCCAGATTTTATCCAAGCTAGTAGTCACCTAGAACAAGGTTTTCAAATCATTCCCAGGCCTTTTTACATGCATATAGTTGAAAAATCTGACCTCTGAAGACCAAAAAACAAAAAACAGACACTTTCGCCTGCTGTTTTTTTGTTTTTGTTTTCATATGTTTGTCTGCTGAGTGGACACATTAAGAAATATAAGAAATTTGACTGTTCACACTCAAAGCCAAGGGGGTTAGCTTAAATTTAAGGCCTGAACCAGGCTCTTGCTATGTTCTGCTACAGAGATAAAACAAATGTTTAAGGGGAAGGAAATTCCAGGCGGAAATTGGCTAAATGTGTCCATGGTTATAATTAACAGATTTGAAACTGATGTTGATATAGATGCTGATGCTGTTGTTGATGCTTTACTCATTTACTATTTTGAAATGGCCTGTGAGGATTTAGGGTCCTGATAAGGCAAATAATAAAAGTACAGTAAGTTGTTGTGCATGTGAGACTGATTGGGGGAGCACGCCGAACCACACTGCAAGGTAAGATCACAATTGTTAAAATATACTGTAGTTTTATAAAACATTCAGAGAATAATGCCAATTTTTCACTATCTGTACATCACTTTACTAAAATACAGTTCTTACTGTGGAGGAGATAAAGGCTTGTTTCAGGCCGCCAGAAACTTTTTTGACATCACGATTCATATAATCATAAATGTTTTCATATAATGAATAATTTATAATTACCAGTTTAGCCATAAAGAGCACAGAAAACTACAGTTCTTTAAGATTAGTTTTAACGCAAGATCAAGTTAAACAACAATCCGCTGAACCCTAATTTCAAATGACACTGAGTCATGAGATTAATATAAAAGATACGATTAATTGTTGAACCTGAGCTGTCGTCAGTACTGTAATTCTCCTGGTTATTGATAGGCTAGCATGACTTCATCCATGACATCAGCACCTTCCACATTACAGATTATCTACAATTCCAAATGAGGAGCAATATGCACTTTCCTCATTTGATGCTTATAAAGTCATTTAAGATGCCTGTGAAAGTAATGAAGAATTTAAGGAGTTGTTCAATTTTCATTATATTTCATATTCAATGATGTGATGATGTGACCCTTACTAACATAACTAAACCATACCACTTTCTTGTTATTTTAATGACTTGATGTTATATTGAGACTACAATCTTTTTTGCTAACCCCTTTTTGGGACCATAGATCATTCATTGGTCCCCTTTGAGTCTTCTTTCATATTGAGTGTTCAAGATGATTTACTCTGTGATGCCAACACTTAATTCCCATTCTTTATACTTTCACACAATAAGAAGATATTCTACTCAGAGTTCCTGTGGGTTTCCCTCTGTATATCATCCCTCACTCTATATTCCTGAACAAACACACAGCACTCAGCATGTCATCATCTGTTAACCAGATGAATCACTGCACTCTGGGATATTCTCCTTCAAACTCATTCTCAAAATTCTAGATGTCTCATTTTTGTTATAAACACTCTTCATTAAACGCTGGAGCCCCTGACATAGCACTCAACGTTTTAGGATCACACTAATCATATTTAGTCTAGATGCAGTTTTCAGTTTGCTTTTGGATATCCCTATATGACTGTTAAGACTTGAGGACAGCTGAGTTTTAGCTTAAGTTTTAGCAATCCCAAAAACTGCTTTAGAAAAGATATTGTTGAAATATTGGGGTGGTTCTGGTTTTAATAGGACTGTAGTGTCTTCCTGAGGGAAATGTATTAAACAAGTAGTAACCTGGATGACACTAGTGATATTAATTTCCTATTTAAATAATTAGAGTTCATAATTCTAAAAAAATTAAAAGGCTCCACCACACTCATAGCTATATCATTGATTACTATGGAAATAGGTTTCTGAGAATGTTTCTGGATGTCAACCACCATTTCCATTTCAAGTATTTTAAGGTGGTTATTAGTACACCATGATAACAACTGACTTCCCTCCCTCCTGTACATGCTCCCATCATCATTAGCGATGAGACCTACAAGGGTGATGTCATCGGCGAACTTAATTAGTTTGAAGGAAGGTTCGCTGAAGGTGCAGTCGTTGGTATACAATGAATTTAGTGGATTTTGCAGGTGATTCAAAATTTGCCTAAATTATTGTTTACATTGGAACATCAAGTTCAAAAAACTTTTTTCAATGGTTGTCATTGTTTTATACTCATACTTTGTGGTTTGAGAAACATTTTCAAATCTGATAACTGGAGGGCTTTAGAGTTAGATGACAGGATTGCTCTCTTGAAATCTCAGCTAGGGTTAGGGTTAGCATTTCCACACTGCTTAGTCATGTCTAATAGTAAGAAAACCTGTTTTACTGGGTAAACTCTTAGTTTTGTCATTTACCATGCAAGTAGTATAATGTATAACTGGAGTCAAAATTTAATTGTTTTTAAATCAAAGAGCCTCGGAGTTGGAGACACTGGCCATCTTATCGACTTCAAGGGCTTTGGAAGGTTTTGTACAGGAGAAGGCTTCAGTATGCCAATATCCGTGGCCTCTTAGATGAAAACCACAAAGCTTGGGGAACGCATTGTCCGCTCTGGGTTGAACTGGCACAGCTGAACTGTTGTATTTTCTTTCTTCTCTTTTCAGCAGGGAATAAACCTATTACTTGTTCTGTTGCAGCCAAAGCATGCTGACGCAACTACCCACCTGAACTACTTGAAATTTTGGAGCCTATCAAGCCAGTGTAGGTTTTCATTACAAGAACCAAGAAATTCTTTAGTAAGTGTTTGGGGGCTCAAATGAGACTGGTGCTGTTAAAGGGATGGAAAGACCCAATTTCCTCAAATACGACCTGAATAAAAATCTGCTAAAAGAATACACTTTCCCCTGTCCCATAGTGGCAATTCGAAAATGACTAGCCACATATTTACGCATCAGGAATAAAAATATATCTGGCATCCCTACACCCCCCTGCCTCCACCTTCCTTGTAAGTATCTCCCTCCGGACCCTCTTCCATTTTGCCCCCCCCCTCAAAAAAAAAGGAGCCTGTTGATTGATGCTAGCATGGGACAAATACTAAGCCCACATACAAATTCAAGGGTAAGACCACTGGTTTTATGACCAATACTCTGCCTGCAAAGTCAGAGATCGCAAGAACCAGAGCCCAGTTTTTTTCCCTGCACGGTTTTGAAGATTTCCACCCAATACCCATCACCAGACCCAGCCCAGATCCCCTTGCACCTCCTCACGCCAACCATTAAAAATCATAAGTTCCAATTTGTCTCGTTTCAGTTTTGCCCCTTATGCTGATCCTTTCCCTAACTGGGGTGTCCACAGAGCATTTCCGCGAACTCTATCTGAAGTTCTCTGGGCACAGTATTTTGACATGATCCCCAAAACACAAGAAATGAGTGGGAAACAATTAAAACAACGGATAGTAGCACTTGCATTTGAATGAGTTTCAAGCATGCTTGGGTACTCGTGTGATCTGAGTGACTGAGATTTGCAACACAACTGTCGCGTGGTGCACCGAAACATCCAGGCACCCGGAGTATATGAAAAAAAAATTCTGCTAATTTCACGAAACCACTTTTCTTCAATTCGTATTGGGCTAAAAATCCATCCCTGAAATTAAAAATTCTCTGAGCAGTGTGTAAATGCTGATCCTTACCCTACCTGGGGTGTCCAATGAGCATTTCCGCAAACTCTAGTTGAAGTTCTCTGGTCATGGGATTTTGACATGTTACCCAAACCAAAAGGAATGAGTGGGAAACAATCAAGAC